TTTAAAAAATTTAGTAGGATACTAAACGAGGAAATCTTTAAAATTTATACGATTCTTATCTTTAATATTTTGATCCGTGTACATTTAAAATTATAAATAATTTAATTTTAATTATTAAAATCAAGCAATAGCACGGGATTACTGATTTCTATTTGGAGGCCCGAGTCAGTGTCCAACCGGCACCATCAAAATTTAGTTAGACGGGCCGTCGCGAAAAAGCATTTATTGGCGGCACTCTTCTAACGTCCCACGCGTCATCCTTCTATTAGTTTGTTTGTCAAAACCGCTAAACAACATTCAGGAACGATGTTACTAATCTGCAATTTTTAATATTCATGTATGCATCTCATGCTAATTTTGCAAATTTCACAAATGAAAATAATATATAATATAAAAATAATATATATTTTTGATAAAAATAAAAATATATTTCATATTTAATAATTAATATATCTATAAATTATAATATAAAATAAATATATGAATTATCAATTACTTGAAATTAACTTTGTTTCACGGTTATATGCACGAAGCAGGCTGCATAACACATTTCTAACAAAATCGACGCCGTACTATTGTTGAAATGGAAAGGGGCAAAAGCCAGAGCAAACAGAAAAACAAAGAAGAAAAGAGGGGGGGGGGTGGTTTCACGTGGTAAAGGTGGGAATGGGATGATGATTTAGATATATACGGCGGTTCATGCATTGAGCGCCACAGCTATTGCATGTACGAAAGTGACGGCCGGTTGGGGCATTATTTGTTGGAAGGGATATCCGGAAACACTTTTGTTTTTAGCTGACGAAATTTAGCCACGTGGAATGCATGTTGTTGATGAATGGTGGTGAGGGTCCATTTCTTTCAAAGACAACTTGTAAATAAAATTTTTAAATGAAATTTGAAAAATTTTTTTAAAGAATAATTTAATAAAAATTTTAAATTAATAGATTAATAAAATTTAATGTAAAGATAATAATATGTGTAAATTTTATTTAAAATATTATTTATAATTTAAATTTGATCAATATTTATTTAATAAAAAGATTTATCAATATTTTTATTAAAAATATTTATTTAAAATTATATATATCAAAATTTATTTAAAATTTACATTTTTAATTTATATAACAAAAATTTTTAATTTATCAAATTTTATTTAATCATTTTTAATAAAAAATTTCATGAAATTCACCTAGTACAACACTTTATATAAGTGTTTCTCTACCTTATGGGTCGAACATTTCTTTTTCTTTTAGATAAGAGTACTGGTGAGTTTGGTGAGGGAAAACAGAGAGAAGGACAGTTGGGCGGAGGGATCAAATGGAAATGGAGAGCAGTACTGAAGGTTTCAACAAAGGAAAATAACTTTAATTATGTTCATTTTTCTAAATAAAATTATAGTTTGGAATAAAGGAAAAACTTAGGACGAATTGAATATGAATTAATAAATGTATATATGTGTGATTTATTCATTTATTTTTAAAAATATTCATTTTTGTTTAATATTTAGTAAAAAAAATTATTCTATTTGTTTAAGTTTTATTCATTTAAATGATATGATATTTGTGTTTGGTTTTTATTTAATTCGATTCAATTAAATTAAATGAGTTCATTTGTAAATATTAAATAAATATATTTATGTATATATATAAATGAATATGTTCATAAACAATAAATAAATTATAACCAAATAAATTTAAATAAATACAAATAAATATTAAAATAAGATTATGATAAAAAAAATATAATTTTATGATTATTATAAATGAGTAATAAATGAATTTTAAATGAAAACTATTTACGAACGTAAACAAATCAAATAAATTTTTATTTGTATTTAATTTGTTTAATCATTTGTTAAATTTAATAAATGAATATAATCAAACAAAAATTGAATATATTTACAAATGGTTTATAAAAAATTTATTCATTTTGTATTTCTAAAAAAATTATAAATATTACAAGTTAAGTTTAAATAATATTATTTTTTAAAATAATTATATAAAAAATATTAATTAAACTTTATATCCGACTCGATATTCTCTCATTTTAAGTAGGATGAATGCAAGAAAAACAATACAAAATGATGATAATGATGGACATCAAAATTGTAGCCTAAGCAAAGAGAAAATTATCATACTTACATAATTTATCCATAATGAAAGTGTTTTTAGTATATATTATAATTAAGGAGAGGACTAATCATTAATCACTAACAAATTGTGTTTTGTGTCGGGTTACACCCTAACAAAAATTAAGTTTTTCTTGCGTGGAGATGCAAAAAATATATATTATTCATAAATAAAAATAAAAATAATATATTAATACTCATAAATTATTTAAATTTAATTTGAATAAAATTTGAATTTAATTTAATTATTATTGAGCTGAATTCAAATAATTTAACTTATTGATAAAGTTAAATTCGAGCATTTTTATATTCAATTTAAATAACTTACGAATTTAATCAAATTTTTATATTTTAATATATATTTTATTATTTTAATTTATATAATATATCAAATTTAAACTTAAATTCAAATATAAATAATTAAAATTTTATCAAATACAATAATTAAATTTATTTTTATATGTTAATTAAATTTAATTAAACAAAATAATTTAATTTTTATTTTAAATCAAACTTAAATTAAAAAAATAAAAATCTTGAATTTAAATTAAATTTTAAAATTTTAAAATTTGAATCAAATTCAAATTTAAAATTAATATTATATCGAATTAGATCGAGTATACTTTTATCCACAAAGATATCCAACATGTTTGCTATAGGCAATGACATATCTTACATGGTTAATTACTTTATGGTACATGCTGTCTTTTATAAAAGTAGTTATTATTAATCATATGCATGCCTTGGGTTTTCACATTCTAAAAACAGCATTTTCATGACAAGATTTAAATAATTCTTCTTTTTTGGATAAATTGATGGGATACCTTATAAAAACATTAAATAAAATTAAAACAAAAAGGTAAAATTACAGATTAAAAATTTTTATTACATAAACTAAATATATAAAATTTGATAAAAATTAAATAAAATTAAATACTTTATTTAAATAAATATTTTAATTAAAAATTATGATAAAGAGTTGTCGTTTTCAAACAAATAATGATACAAAATTGTGAATAAATTATAAATAAATTTTTTAATTTTTACACGTTCAAGGTTTTTTTTAATATTTAAACCAATTAATATAATTTATTCCAAAAAATTTAAATAATTTGAAATTTGAATATTAAATACGTCCGATATGATTTTCTCATTCTATATCCATTTAAATAAGTTTAATAATTTATATACTTATATTATATAAAATATTAATAAAATTTATATTTATATCATAATTTATATAAAAATGATGTATTATAATTTATGTTTACATGAAAATATAAAATATATTTTTAATTTTTATAAATATATAAATTTTATTAAAAATTTAAATTAAATTATTTTTATATTTTATATCATATTATTATATTATATTTTAAATTATGAGAGAGGCGTGAATAGCATGTGGAGTCGTTTCAGTATTTCAGTTCACCGTAAAGTGGGACCCACGGAGTTAACACGACAAAAAATTCAACTGCTCAGTTAATCAGTCAGCTAAATTACGACAAAACACAAATTCTTAAATTGAGAATTTGGCAAGTTAAAAGGCAAAAACTGAAACCAAACATTGAACTCCAAACACTGACAAATGCGCGTGTGGTTTGGACATGCTTTGATTTTCCGGTCAAGTACGAAAAAAGGGGCAGTCTCGTAATAATAAATATAAATAATATATTAATATTTATAACTTATTTAAATTTAATTTAAATTTAATATGATTATTATTAAATTAAAATTAAATTTTAATAATTTAATTTATGGATCGAATTAATTTTAAATATTATTATATTTGATTTAAATAATTTAAAATTTTAATTAAATCTTTATATTTTAATATAATTTAATTATTTTAATTAATAAAATATTTTAATTTTGAATTTAAATATAAATAATTAATTTTTTTATCAAATATAAAAATTAAATTTATTTTTATATATTAATTAAACTAATTTAAATAATTTAAAATTTATTTTAAATCAATTTAAATTAAAAAAATAAAATTTGATTGAATTTAAATTAAATTTCAAATTAAATTCAAATTTAAACTTAAATTTGATGAATTATACAATTAAATATCAATATTTAAGCAAGCAAGCCAGGCAAAGCTCGTAAGCAAAGATGATTTCAGTTTCTAATGGCCCGTGACTTTACTGAAAGCAGAGGCTGCGAAACTTTACTGTCTGACAAAAATTTGAATCAGATCAGACTGTGAGATGCTGTCAAAACTAATGATAAAAGAATTTGTCGGCAGACGAAACTGAAACCAGTTGAAGTACCTTCCCGCTCCCGCCCTCCTTTATTGGAGATTTGGAGTCAGTGAAAAAAAAAAAAAAACCTTTTCCGAAAAATAATCGAATATCGTTTGCTGATTAAGATTAATCTGGTAAAATTAATTTTTTTACTGTAATTTTTATACAGTTACAAAATTTTTTCTTAGGGTTTGTTTGGATATGTGATAAAATTGATTTTAATAAAATTAAAAATAATGATAATAATAAGATTAATTATTATTATAATAAAATTAAATATTTTAAATAAAAAAATACATTTAAATACAAATACAATGATAATAATAAGATGAAGTGTAATAAAAAGATAAAATAATCATTATGAACATTAAATTACAATTGATATATAATGAATTTTAGATTATTTGTTATTTGTTAATAATTTATTTGATTATAAAACACATTATTTATGTATTTATTTAATTTTAGTTATTTATTAATTAATTAATTATATTAAATTAGTAAAATTATTTAAAATGAAAAAATAAATAAAAAACAAAGATTAAATGTCATGGTCATATTCGTCACTAAACTATAAACTCCAATGTAAAGATGACAAAAAAAAAAGAAAAAAAGGGGCATAAATGAGAGGGGGCTGCGTTCGGAGGAGGGAAATCTTCACAGGAGCTTCTTCTTCCTTTGCAAATTTTGGGTTTCAATGCAATTCAAAGGCAACAAACGCGATACAAATTTTGGGTTTCAATGTGATTAAAAGACAACAAAAACACTGCCGATTATTCTTTAAATTAATTGGTATATTATTAAAATTAACATTTAAAAATTATAGATTCGAGAGAACTTAAACAGATAATATTTTCTTCAAAATAAATTAAGAATAAAAAAAAAAAAGAAAAAAAGACAACATTAGCACTGATCTTCGATTATTCGAATGGATGCTACGGTGCGAATTGAATGAAGAAGTGATAAATTTGCGCCGTACTGAAGGTAAAAGCTGAACCAAATGGGGCCTTAGTCACCACTTTAAATTTTCCATGGACCACAAGGAAAGAATCGAGCGTCAAAGGAAATTTATCTCTTCTTTGACTAGTACTTCCAAGGGCAATGAAGTTATGAATCCCAGAATAAGCTGACACTCAATGAAGTTTATCAATGGCCACAAAGTAACCTTCTGCCAGCTGTATCAGGCTTCAGCAACTGTGAAGTTTCAGGATAGAAATCCCACATTAACAGCCGAAGAGCAATATATCATAGTACAACTTGAATTACCTTTCAACAAAAGTGTGTATTAACTATAAGTAGTGTCCACCATTAATGTGCAGATAGAGTTGTTTATCCACAACATCTAAAAACAACTCTTCTATCAGTAGAAATATAGAATCAAAGATCAGGAATATGCACCACACTGGCAGTAGCCTTGTCGTCCTTTCTAGATCCTTTCTTCCTCTTCCTTTCAGATTGGGGTTCTTTTGCTTTAAGCTCATTGCGAAAGGACCTCAATGATGCAGCTAAATGTTCATTTCTATGAGCTGAAATGGAAGTGAACAGGTTTTATGATTCTATACATCTGAACAAATAAAGCATCTGCTATTTCTAACCCATCAATACCAAATAAGCATGCTCTCTATCTCAAAATAAATCACTAATCAGAAGATGCACATGATCGTCACCATGATACCACAAAAGAAGAATCAATTCAAGAGCACTGTTTGACATTAGTGACACTTACCAGAAACTATGACATCTTCCATGTTCACAGATTTCCGACCAGCATGGTGTGCAAATAGCTCAAGGTCCTTAGCCAGCTGTCCTGCAATTCAAAAAGCCATATGTTTCATTCAATTCGAGCAAGCTTTTTCGTAATAACATCAAACAACATAACTGAAGCTACAGCAACTAGCAAATGCAAAATTGGTTATTGGTAGTAGTAACATTCCCATTTCCCACCCGGTTCCCACCAGGTACATGGAGAATGCTACATATACCATCCCATTTCCAAATTCGACAATTATGAGTGACATTTTCTTCTACATGGCAACCAGGATTGCTATACAACAAAAATGCAACTAATGCGATGCAATTGCAGAAATAACGCTAAATTGTTAATAACTTAGCTCATAAATATTGTTGGCAAAAGGGTCAAAAAAGCCCTAAAAAAAAATTCAATAATCATTTAAACCCCTAACATTTATTTGCAATAAATCAAGCCCTAACTCTTCTATTTCAACTCAATTGAACCCTTAAACATTCATTTTCACCCAACTGAACCCTTACATATCTATTTTCACAATTAAACCCGCGATTGGATGGAAACGGTTATCCATTTTTCCTCCAATAAAGGCTCAATTAATGAAAATAGATGTTCTGAGGGTTTAATATATTGCAAAAAACTAATAAGGGTTTAGATGATTATTGAATTTGAGTTCCCTTTTGCCAATATTCTTCCTCTAATAGCAATAATAACCTTCAAGGTTTTGCCTTTACTGCAAATTGACAACAAAAATCCAAATCATAATTTCATTCAGCTACACTGCTACATCATTAAACCCAATAATAACTGTATTAATAACCTAATCTAGTGATTACATTACAGAAGAAACTCAACGTTGGAAAAATGGTTTCAAATTTTAAGAGGTTCCAAATTCAAAGAACAAAGTAGAAATAACATAAAAGAAAATTGAAGCACGAAAAAAATATAGTGAATAGAAAAAAAGTGACATGCTTTACCAGTGTATTTGAAGGCCAAATCGGAAATACAAGCTACTATTGGTTCAGAAATCTCCATGCCGTTTCTCTTCGCTGCTCGAATCAGATGAAGATTTAATTCAAATTAGCCAAAATTACGAAAATTCCGTTCATAAAATTAATAAAAAAATGATAAGATGCGGAATTTAGATATTTTGGTTTTTTTTTTCCTTTTTCCAAAATTTTCTCAGAAGCCAAAAAGAAGTATAGAGTTTGGGGCCGAAATGGACCTTCAGCTTCGGCGATGGAAATGGCAGAGAGTCGAAACCGATCCCTCAAGAGATCGGAAATTGAATCATCTTCTTCCTCTTCTTCTTTCTCGACATCGCTCCTATCTTCATCGATTTCCATTGTAAAAGCTAGGGTTCCAATTTTCCGGTCATCACCTATTATCAGATATTCAAATGGCCGATGAGAAGTAGGAGAAATGCGCGGGAATTTGAGCCACAAGCACAGATTTGGGCTTAAATCCGACTCCTTTTCGGGCCAGAATTCAGGCCGCTTTTTAATCGAACTCCAGAAATATTTTATTTTTGAAAGATATTTATTTTTTAATTAAAATATTTAAATGTCTTTGGCTCTTTCCCGTCCTTTCCATATCCATCTCCGTATTAAGAGTAAAAAAATCAAAAAATCAAAAATTGATTTGATCTTTAATCAAATTTTTTATTTAATTTAAATTAAATATAAATATTAAATATATATTAAATGTGGATCATATTTTAAATAAAAAATTTAAAAATTAAATTAAATCAAATTATATAATTTTTTAATTTTATATATTTTAAAATTTTTTTAAAATAAAATAATTATTTTATATTTAAATTTATTTAAATAAATTAAAAATTATATTAAAAAATATATAAAAAAATAAAAAATAAAATTTATAAATTTGTAAACTAAAATAAACTTATAAAATTTAGTTTGGATCAAATCAATTTAAAAAATTATTAATTTAAATTTAAATTTAAATTAAATTTAAAACATTCATAATTTTATATATTATTAAAAAATAAAATAAAATCCAATCCAATTTAATCCATTCTTACTCATATTCCATGTGAAAATACGCCTGCCAAATCCCATCATTCGCGGCTTCATTTATACTACAAAGGTAGAATTTTGCATTTATTCGTTGAAATAACACTTAATTTGAATTATCCACTAAGCATTCATTACTTAAAAATTCCTTATCCGAACAATGCTCAGATACGACGTAACCAAACAATAAATTTTCGCTTTTAATAAAACGGTTATGACAGTTAACTGAAGAGCGACCATCTAACTAACGTGCTTCTCAGCCTCAGTCACCATGGCAGCGGAAATATCGCTGGCCGAAACAACCACCGATTCTTTCGCTAAGCGAATCGCCAGACAGCCGGTACCACGAGCGGCGTCGCAAACACCGCTCCTTTCAGTAAACCATCATCAGGCAACAACTTCTTTGTCGCCGCCACCAACTTCTTCGGCCTGGAGGCGACGTCGGCGTTCGGGGTTAGTGAAGGAGAGAACGGCGGTTAAAGCGGAGATGGAACCTCCACCCATGAGAGCAATGGTGGTACCATCCACAGCGGATAGGTCAGTAACGGAGGCGGCGGTTGTTACGGTGGTTTTGAATGGTGTCGTTTTGTTTTTGTTGGGGGAGTATTGGAGGGAATGGGAAAGTAGTGGTGTCGAACTTTGACGACTGTCGCTCTCTTTTTTGTAAAAATCTTGTTGATAGGATGGAGCTGATCCCCTTGATTTATGTGGGGTCCATTTTGATTTAAGGCATGTTTGTTCTGAAATTATTATTAGTATTATTTTATTATTATTATTCCCTTGCAAAACATTTTGTTTGGCATCTACGGTCTATCGGGCATTGACGTCGCGCCAAACACGCTTCAAAAGTTACGCACGTGGCGAGCAACGATTGGAAGTAAACCAAAATGGCCGTTCATAACTGACGGCGAGTTAATCGGGAAAGAATCACCGACTCACTGTTAACTTGGAGCTGAAACGGTCAATCTGAAAATCAAGAACCGTTCTTTCTCTTATTCAAGAAAAGTTTCCCACTCCCTTGAAAGTGACCTCTTTTGCTCTATCCACTTGAATTCTAACTTTCCACAACTGAGCCGATAATGTACTTTGGAATCCTCTCTTGATCGCAAAATGCCGCTTCTTTTTTCATTTCTCCGGTCTCTGATAAGCTGAGTTCATGGGGTTTTCCTCAGCTAGCGCATCTATGTGTCAGGGTCAGCCATGGCGATTGGGGCGTGGATTTTGATTGCATTGATGAACATTTGGTGAGAGGAATCTAATTACATGGTTTACAATACGACGTCGAAGAGAGTTCCTAAGAACCTCAACGTTCTCCAAAATTGCATTCAGGTCTTTTTCTATTTCCTTTTTTTGTTTTTCTTCGTTTTGATTTAACATTGATCAGGTTCACCGTATAGCGTCAAACAGTAAAAGTTTTAGTAAAAAGTAAAAATAAAGAAGGCAATGGTACAATCTAGAGAGAAAAAGTTGGGTCTTTTTAGAGAGAGAGAGAGAGAGAGTCAGATAGAGAAGCAGAAAAGGCGGGTTAGTTTTTTTATTGTTACTTTTTAAAAAAATAAAAAATGAGTGACAGCCATGAAAGTTCGCAGAGGAAGTTCTAACAACAAACACTAATCTACTTTCACCATTAAAAATTCGAAATTCTAAAGAAAAAGAAAATTATTATAATTATCAAAATCAATTTTCGTCGCCAAAAACGAAGAAGATCGAGTGAAATTCTGCGTTTCTCCTACAATGCATTTCTCCAAACTGGAAGATACGCCGATGTTTCGGCAAGAGGTTCGTCTTCTCTTCTTCTTCTTCTTCTTTTGGCAATGCTGCGTTTTTAATAATGCAATTATTTTCCGTCATTTATTCAAGAATAAACAGGAAGTTTTCCTTTAGATTGCATGCTTAGTTAAAATTTCTAGGAGAAATAGTGGTGGAAAATACGATCTTCTTATCAATTTTCTATGCATTCACGCGTTTTGGCAGCAATAAATCTTATTGTAATTTTGGCCTTTCAATCCACTTGTTTTTCTTTTTTAATTTCTTTTTACACGATTTTTTTTTCTGACATGGTACTAACGAGGAAATTATTTGCAGTTTTCTATGGCATTATCCTTTTTGGAAAACTTTGTTTTCCCTTTATTTCTTCAAGTGGAAACTTTCGTTGTCAGATTCCTTTTTGCACTACGTTTTGGTAATTGTTGTATTGCTTGGTGAAGCAGATGCAATGCTTGGAAGAGAACGCTGAGTCGATGCGAGGAAGATGTTTAAAGTTTTACAAAGGATGTCGAAAATACACGTAGGTTTACATTTGTTCTCTAGAATAGCAACTCATGGAGCTATAAGCTGCTTTTAAATACTAATTCGTAATTGTTAAATGGTTTCTCAAACAATGGATTGATGTGTTTTTCCTTTAATATGCGGTTAAGGGGATCTCCTTTGTGGCTCCATTCAAGCCTTCTTAGACCTCAGGTCACTTGAGAAGCCTTGAGAATGGGGCTGTGAGGAGATAATGTGTTATTAGTTCATTACAAATGCTGTGTTTCTTAGTAAGGCAAGAACTAACAAAGTGAAGCTCATATCATGTAATCGTAAGAGAAACTGTGGTTAGTTGTTTTTCTGCTAGTCCGACAAATTGTAAGTGCACAACAATTTCAAATATGAATTGTTATCTTGCTGCCCAAAGGTTATGTTTGCTCAAATTAACAGTACTTCGCCAATAAGGCCTCATATTATTGATGATCTCACATGGTTGTTAAATTCTAAATACTAGAGAAGGGCTTGGAGAGGGGTATGACGGTGACATTGCTTTTGTAAATGCCCTTGAAACTTTTGGAGGGGGGCATAATGATCCTATATGTGTTGCTTTTGGAGGTACACATTCTAACCCTCCTATGTCTTCTTTGAATGATACCTTGAAACTGCTTGTCTTTCATTTTCTATAATTTAGAGCTGCAAAGATTATGTCCATTTAGGTATTGCATGGTGCTAATATGTATTTATAACATCTATTTTCCTATTTACTTTCGAACTGCTTTTTCTATAGTCCTCTTTTCTGTGTCCTTATCACATGAGAAAGGTAAAGCTTTGAAAAATATTTTTTGAGGACAAATCAATGCTAATTATCAGAATTTCTAATTTTTTTAATAAAATCAATACTTAAAAAGAATGTTTTTGTTTCTTTTCTTGAAAATAATTATCTTGTTATGCTTTTACTTAAATTGATCATGCTGATCTATAACCCTCTGCCTGTCATGGTTGGTATAAAAAACGTAAGTTATTTGTAATGTCTGGAAATGCAATAAACTGCTCATATATTACTGCTCTTCTTACTGATGAAAATTCCACTGTTTCCACAGGTCCAGTCATGACAAAATTCACCATTGCATTGAGAGAAATTGGCACACACAAGGGAGTTCTTCGCTCACAGGTAGTGACTTTTGTGATTTTAGAGGTGCCTTGTTAAAACATCTAGTATAATCTTTATATTTTATGTACGGTTTTGATTATTGAATTTTGTGATGTGACTTAATTTTGTGTATGATTTATTTCTTAAAGCAAAAAAAGTATTTTCTATTAAGATTTGTAGTTGTAGAACCAGTTTCATCTTAAGCAATTGTAGTGTAAATTATGAAAAATTACAAAGAAAAGGATACTGCAGGTCTTAATTATGCACCTTATAACCAAGATGCAGTCTGCAATACAATAGAGGGAAGGTGATTGGGTTCTTCTTGTCCTAAAAACAAATATAAATTTCAAAAGCTAAATGTTCAGACTCAATTTAAGGCATTAACTAATTGTTTTAATGATTTAATAATTTGGAACTTTTTTTTAAAAAAGATTTGTTTCCACCTTAAATTACCTATCTAATAGTATCAGATTGTGGTGTGTGGTAATTTGTTCATCAATTCTAATTTGTATGCTTATCTGGTATTCCTTAATTTCCTTATGTGACACTCATCACTTCCATTAAAACTTCCTAGCACATTCAAATTTTCTAAGGTAGACCATTCCCTAACAATACACTTAAAGTTTTCTGCTACAATAGAAAGGTCATTTTGTTTTACATTAAACTTCCAAGTTGTTTGTCCCTAGCAAAATAGTTTATGAGATATGGTGAAATTTTTTTAATTAATTTAACTTCCTCTAACTATTCTATTACTTTTTCAGATAGAGCACATGCTAAATGATAGATTGCATCAGTTTGTCAATATTGATATGCAAGATATCAAGGTACTCTTTATCATATGATAGATGTTTCATCCGTGTTTTACCAACATGTACCATTGAAAGGTCCTAGGGTACGTTTGTTCTCAGTAGTGCCTTTAATGTCTTATCGGCCTGCATGCATAGTGGATAAATTTTATTATTCCTTCTCATATTTGACCTAGAAGGATAAGGTCTATGGTTATCTAATTTTACTGCTTTCTGCTTAGCTTCAAATGGTGTCACCTGCTTCTAGATGACTAGATCACTGCAGACTGGGGTCACCAGCTTCTATCTGAGTTTTTCACTCAAATAATGGAACAACTTGATACATGTCGGTCTTGGTGATGTTAACTGGTTTCTCTCATATTTTCTGACCCATTGCTAAACCATTGTTTCAGGATTTCCGAAAACGTTTTGACAAGGCTACACTTATATATGATCATGTGAGTTTCAAATAAAAGTGTCAAACACTCTTCTTTTTTCCTTCTTTTTGATTTTCATTTCTCCAGTGATAAGGTTGCCTTTAGTTTTAAGCATCATGATGATTATGTATTGTAAATTTAAATTTATTGATAAAAAATTGGTAAAAATGCTGGGACCTTGAAGCATATGCACATCTTGTTAAAAAATAGAAAATACTAAACACCATTTCTGAACTTTCCCTGATGTTGAGTATTGATGTGTATTCAAAAACCAGGAAGGGGAATGGTGACAATAGGAAACAATGCCCATGAATATTTGTCTTATAATTGATTCTAGATTCTTAAACAGAGTTAAAGTCTCTCCACAAAGTGGGATGACATGTTCATAAAGTCGATGTTGTTTCCTTTGTTACTCACTTTTGGTTTCAGAAAGCATAAGGCAAAAGTCCCGTTTGGATAAAAATAATCGATTATATTTTAAATAATCATAAACTAAAAAAATGAAGGTTTGTAAGTATCAAAATGGATGATTTTTTTTTTGGTAGGAATAACTATGTTTGAAAAGTATGTTACATTTTAATTATTTTCTCATTTTTAACCAAAAATGATTTTGCTTTTTCATCATTTGCTTTTTAGCAACTTTAATGAAACAAACTGCAATTAGCTAAAGCAATAACCAAGTAGACCCTAAATTGAATTTTCTTGCCAAATGGCAGTAATAACTTGATATCCTTATAAGTAATGCATTTTTAAGAGTTCATTGAGGATTGAAACAACTAGTCATTATGACTTTGATAACTGGTTTTAGTGGACTGCTTTTGTAAAGTTAGTGCTTTATAACATTCTAGCTGGTATATTCTTAATGGTGGCAATTGGTGCTGTTGCCCATTTTGCCATACAGGCACGAGAGAAGTTTCTGTCTTTAAGGAAAAGCACTAGGGTGGATGTAGCTGTGGCCATAGAAGAGGTACATACAATATTAACTTTTTCTTGACCCAAAGAACTATTCTTAAAAGTTCAAAATTTGATGAATTTTGTTGTCATGGTTAACCATTATCTTGCAAAATCTAATTTGGTAGAGAGACATTCCAGGAATTGCATACTGCAAGAACCTCATTTGAGCAAGCCCGCTTCAATCTGGTAAGTTATTTTTGTCAATAAATGTGTGTTCAATGTTATATGCATTTGTTTACTGGAAGCGGTAAATATGCATGTTCTGCTATGTCCAGGTTAGTGCTCTGTCCAAGTTTGAAGCCAAAAAGAGGTTTGAATTTTTGGAGGCCGTTAGTGGGATGATGGATGCTCACCTTCGATTCTTCAGACAGGTATGGAACATGTCATATTATGGCAACTCGTCTTTTTCTTACAGGTGGTATCTTCTTAATATGTTCAACTTCTGGTCCATTGTTCTTTTCAGGGATATGAAATCTTGCATCAGATGGAACCTTTTATTAACCAGGTTTGTCACAGTAACTTTTCCATGTATGAGATGAAATGAAAGATAAATTTGCTACATCTTTTAACATATAAAAGTGTGGAGACTTCTTTCCTCCAGTTGATCCTGCTTTTAAAAATGAAAATAAATGGAATGAAGCTGCTAAAACTAGCCGCCAACACTTTTGAAGCTGCAAAAAAGTAGCTGAGACATGTTCTAGCGTTTTGTACATTGCTTTTCCTCACAATTCTCACCCTTGAAAGAATCCACGGAGAAACCCATTCTAGGGAAGAAGGGTGACTGTTTTGTAGCTTGCAGAGAAAGATAAATCTTTCATCTATTTTAACTTCTTCCTTGTTCTCTGCAATTCATAGCAAAAGGTGAGGCTTGAAAAAGGTTAGAACCCTCAAAGCATAGGGTCAAAATCCTTGTTGTCCAGATTAAGCATATACCATTAAATGAAGCAGGGAAAATTTTTGTTGTGAGCGTCTGTGAGTGACCAAAGGTAATATAACCAAAGGAATCTTCCTAACCTTGAGAAGATAATTCCCTTTATTCTCGACATGAGAATGCATAACAAACTGTTTTGGAATATAGCTAAATTAAGCTGGTCTACCATACGGATTTTATCTGCAGTTGCTTTAGATTCTTCTACATATTAAGACTACGAGTGAATACAGGAGCTTGTGTCAGCTAAGTATCCTGTCACCAGTAAGTGGAAAAGGGATTCATCTTTTGGTCCCTCATGACACATAAATGAAGCTAATGCAAGTTTTGTAATGCTAGCTACCTGCAACAGCGAGACTGATTCCAACTTCGGAAAAAGTATGATGAGAGCCCAGATAAGATCTCTTTCTGATCTGCTTTACCGTAAAAAACAAATGACTCTAGTCCAGAGTAATATTCAACAACGCTTCAAAATTCTTAAACTATTTTTAGTTGATACCACTCGGATCCAAGTTGCCTCTTGTAATTTAATATCTGGGATGATGCTGTCATTCTTCTGGAGAATTACTAGCACAATATTTCTGGTCAAGCCAAGTAGATGGAAGTGGTAAGCCTTGAATCATCTTTTCTGCGAACCATTGCTTCCATCCAACCAGTCCTGTCACAAAAATTGTTCCCCACTAATAAAGAGAAAACCTTTGCCTCAAGAGCATTAGTATTTTTTTCCCTCCTTTTTCTGCGTCAGAATCCAGTTCCTATCTTGTTTTATGAGTTCCTCCTGTCAGAAAAGTTCCCATAAGCAAGCAATTCAGGAAACTTCAAATGATTTTCTTTCCTGAGAAACTATATATCTATTTTCTCAAGTTTTCTGCCGACAAAGTTTTCCTCATAAGATTGTTTCCTCTTTCTTTGAACTTTATATATGTTAATCATGAGAATGTCAAAAATTAGTGTTTCTGGGTTGTAGGTCTTGGCTTATGCACAACAGTCTAGGGAATGTTCCAACTATGAGCAGGCATCTCTAAGTGAAAGGATGCAGGAACATATCAGGCAGATTGATCGTGAGAGTAAGCAGTCCTTAACTGGTTATTTTGATCCTCCTTCAGCAGATGGTATGCAACCTTTCACAAGGGGTTCACAAAAAGTTATTGAGGCAGTTATGCAATCTGCTGCAAAGGGAAAGGTAATATCTGGTTTGTGACTCAACTTTTGCATTGTTCTCTTAGAGAATCTTACCTTAGTTTGAATTTTAATGATTCTGCATACTTAAGGACTTTCTTTACATTCCCATAGCTAATAGTACCTTTACTTAGGTTCAAACCATACGACAAGGTTATCTTTCAAAACGTTCCTCAAACTTGAGGGGTGATTGGAAGAGAAGGTTTTTTGTTCTTGATAGTCAAGGGCTTCTGTATTACTATCGTAAACCACTTGTATCATCTTCTGTAAGTTACTAGATCAAAGATAACCTATAATACTAGGTGCTGTAAATGTTTTCTCTTTCTTTTTACCTGTAATAAATGTTTTTCATTCAGGCAGCTGGAAGTCAGTCTGCTATACAAAGGAGTGGTTGCTCTGAAAGTGGTCCTGGACTGCTGAGTCGATTGCTTTCTTCCCATTACCATGGTGGTGTACATGATGAAAAATCTGTTGCACGTCACACTGTAAACTTGTTAACATCAACAATTAAGGTTGATGCAGATCAGTCAGATTTAAGGTTCTGTTTCAGAATTATCTCACCAACAAAAATCTATACATTGCAGGTATTTGTTTGCTTCAATTTCACAGTGAATACATAACAGATGCTTTCATTTGTGACTCTTGACTTTTTACTTGCAAATGTTTTGTGGCTATCAATTTTGGAAATGCTTAAATATTTTTGTGGCTGTCAGTTTTGGAAATGCTTAAATATTTAGCAGTAGATTCTCAAAAGTACTACCTTGGCAATGCAGGCAGAGAATGCACTAGACCAAAGGGATTGGATTGAAAAAATAACTGGAGTAATTGCTTCATTATTGAGTTCCCAAACACCAGAGAAGGTAATTGAAAGAATTTTCTTCTAAAGAAAATGGGGGAAAAAGCACCTAATTGTTCCTTCTTTTTCCTCAACCTAAAAATAGAATGAGATATACATTTGTTTAATTTTCTTCAAAAATTATTTTCTTGAATTGGGAAAAGGGGCATTAATCAGGTGTTCCTCACTACGTATCCTCTTATTTCTTTTTCTATGCAAATAACCATAGAATGTTTATGTCAGTGTCTGTCTTTTTTCCCCATCGGAAGTGGTGATAATTGCTCTGTTAGTGATAGTAGTTCAGTAGCAGATTCCTCTGATGCTTATCAAGCAGTAATTGGGGAACATGCATCAAAGAATCTCTCCTCTGGAAGTCATTTAGATATATCTAGAAGTTTGCAGTATCAAGAGTATTGCACAAAGAGTGAAAAGCCAATTGATATCTTAAGAAGAGTAGCTGGGAATGATAAATGTGCCGACTGTGGTGCATCTGAGCCAGATTGGGCATCTTTAAACCTTGGTGTACTTATATGCATTGAATGTTCTGGAATCCATCGCAATCTTGGTGTGCATATATCCAAGGTATGTCATATATACGTCTTTGGATGTCTTTCTATGACATGATATTTGCAATTCGTTTAATAGTTTCTAGAAAAAGCTTTTGGCTGGGTATTGGACCTTTCAACATGTGAGACACAAACCTTGAAAAAGAGCTTTACTTATCATCAACAATTTGATAAGGATATAGAAGGATCTAAATGCTTCAGTATCTTTGCTTTTGTTTGTAAGTTAAAATATTTACGTTACGACTCAAGTATCTTGTGGAAATATAATTGGCAAGACATGCTTCAATGTTGAGAATACCATAGTTCACTGAAGAATCAGGAACAACTAACTGCATGCAGGGTCTTCAATCCCTTTAATGGATGTTAAGAAAGTTTTACGGTGACAGAGTGGTGTTTAGATTTTGAAACTTTTAACAGCATCAGAAAAATAAGAGCTGAGGAAAGAAAATTAAGTGTGCCTCAAACCAATTGAGAAAAATAACAGAAATATCATGTTTTAGCTTTTCTATTTCTGAATGTAACCCTTTATTTATTGTTTCCATGTGTCTCTTAGGCATACATTGTGGCTTGGCCCATGTGTTCACTTGTACTAAATAGGCAAGCTAAGGATCAGGCAATGTTTATAATGCATTAGCCACTATCCTTGTGTAAGTTTCTGAATATGCTTGGAAGATGTAAAAGCTAGGAATGGAGACTACTTTTTCAATTATGTTATCAGGTTTGTCAATATAAAACTAATTTTACTTGGTCCAAGGACTGGAAACATTTTGCCCCTCGGAATTCTTTTAGGAGTTGGACTTGCTATCATTTCTGTCTTATATTCATGCAATCGTTCTTTGCTTTATGTTTCTTTTTTCTTTTTTTTTTTCTCTGATTGCCTATTCATGCAGCTATTCTATAACCTTTTACTCAGGTTAGATCACTGACACTTGACGTTAAAGTGTGGGAACCGTCTGTCTTGGCTTTGTTTCAATCACTGGGCAATATGTACGCAAACTCAATCTGGGAAGAGTTGTTGCACACAGGACATACAAGAACTGCCATGTCTGTGGGGTAAGTAAAATATATTTGATCTGGTTGGAAAACTGTTTCTATGCTGATAAGTTTTTACTTGTTGTGTAGTTCTTCGAAGTCTGATGGACATAAACAGCTTCTCACAATGAAACCTGGTCACGATGACCCAATTTCAGTAAAGGAGTTGTTCGTTCATGCAAAGGTATTGCCCTGAATAATTTAGTTTCTTCCTTTTGGTGTTTCCTTCTCTTCTTTTCTCATATGATTGTGCCTCAATAGTGTTTGCTTAACTGGCTTTAACTTTACAGTTATTCACTATTAGTTATAATTTTTGACATGTTACTTGATGTTTGCAATGCTTATACAATAACTTTGTAGTCATATTTTGTTTTAGTTAAAAGGAATTTCTTAGCTATTTGAGAATTATCAGTCTGTACAAGAATTCCATGAGCTGGTCCCGTTCCCTGAATTCATTGCCCTTTTATATGTGCTTTGGGTGTCAATTTTTAAAACGTGCCACCTGTGTAGATGTTATTGCTAGGTAATTTCAACCAAACATTTAGCGTTCAAGTTGTGACTAGATTTGCTTGTGTAGGTCTTAAAACAATGCATTTGGTGGGTAACTCTATGCGTGCAGTAATAGGTTTAACAATCTTTTCTTCCAGACGTTGAGTTAATGGTTCCTGATTATTTCAGTATGCAGAGAAAGCATTTGTTCCTAAGATGAAGGACAACCAGCATCTCCTTTCACTGGCAGAAGAGGTGTGGGAAAGTGTTCGTGCTAATGACCAAAAAGCTGTATACCGCTACATTGTTTGCTCTGGAGCAGATGTCAATGCTATCCATGGGCAAGCATCATATTGTACATCCCCACCTCTGTCCAGATAAGTGTAATCAAGACCAACAAATCCCTTATCACAACTTTTGATTGCTTTGCAGGCGACTCTCTGGACCGGCCCTCAAGATGTTTGAACTCATTAAATAAAAGTGAAGATCAGATCCAAAAGGAGTTTTCTGACGGTTGTTCTCTACTTCATCTTGCTTGCCTGAACACTGACATTGGCATGGTGGAGCTGCTCCTTCAGTATGGTGCAAATATAAATGCTTCTGATTCAAGAGGTCGGGCACCACTTCATCTTTGTATTGTTGGCAGGAAATCTGCTTTAGCAAAATTGCTGCTGACAAGGTAATTTTTCATTCTTGCTTTCAGCTTGGTGAAGTGACACTGCAGTAGATTCTCTTGAGAAAATATTCGTGACCCATTTCATTCACATGCATCTGATTTTCTGGCCTATGGTTAAACAATAGTCTGGCTTTTGTTATCATGAGACAATTCCTGAGATCACAAAAATTATTCTACCTCAAAGAAAAAAATTTTCAGTTTTATTGCCATCGATAAGATCCACCATTATGGAAAACTTGTTAGTGCACACACTATCAGTGCAAGGCCATTGTGAAAATCAATGTTCTGCCCTCGTTTTGGTCCCCTTTTCCCAACATTTGTGCATACGTACATACATACATGGATATTTATATAATTTTGTACAGGCAACTGACATTTCCACAATTGCAGGGGAGCAGATCCACATGCTATAGATGGAGAAGGTAACACTGCTCTTCAGCTTGCTTCGACATCAGGCATTGACGACAATGATCTTTTGGCACTCTTGACGGATATAAACCGATAGTACGGAAGATCATAACCCAAAGGACCCTTAATGTTAGAAAGAGTTGTCCGTTCTATAAAAGAATTGAAGAATCAAAAGCCTATTACTTGAAAAGGTTAGTGCTGAACTTAGTAGGCTATTCAAAATTTTGGCTTGCCGAGGCGAAACTGCATCATAATTCATAATTCCTCCCACCATCTTAGTAGAGTTTCTTTGGGTGCTCTTATGGTGGCTTATGCTTTTCAGGCTCAGTAATTTATTATTTCTTTATACCATATCAAATAATATATATATATATATATGTATATGTAAAACACTTTGGTGGGCCATTGGCATCTGTTTCTGGGTTTTTTGGCCCATATTTTTGGGGCTCAAAGGACGGGAATTCCCTTGGGTGCAACAAAGCCCACAATTGGCCTTTCCAGCAAAGGAGATTAAACTTTTGAGTCTATAGATATTAAGTAACTGCTTTAAAATAAAAAGTGTTAAATATTTGCATGATTTTCTACTCAAAAAGTAAAGTTGGAATCTTTTTATCTGTAAATAAAAAAAAAATCCATTATTTTTCTTTTTCTTCCCTTTTTTTTAAAGTTAAAAATTACGATATTATTGTGGTGAAGCTAAGCAATGAAGTCGTAGCAGGTGCATTTGGATGTATAAGACTGGTTCTTAAAGGTGATGGGGAGAGGAAAGTGTGGACCAATTGGTCTCATTGTTCCAATTATACCATGGCTAGTCCTTTTTTTTTTTATTCTTTAAAAGGAAAGATAGGGGTCCAATATTCTCTACCAAACGTTTGCTTTTTGATGATAACATGAAAAGCTTGCATGGTGGATGGGCTATTTTTGTTTTTTAAAGCTAGTGGATCAAATGACTCAAAAAACCCAACTCACTGGGCACATTGAAAAATCTTAAGAATGAATAAAAAAAAAATTTATATCGGAAGTGATAAAGGGATAAATATTGAGTATTAATACATTCGGGTTTAAATTTTTTTTATGATTTTTTATTAATAGAATATCTGTAAATTCAAAAAATTTATAAATAAAAATTTAATAAATTCATAAATTTCAATTGAGTTGATAGCTTGTTTTGATCTTAAAAATAGGTAAATGAGGTAACTTTACCTATTTCTAAACTTTTATTAAAAAAAAAACAACCAAGCTTCTCTTTTCCTATGCAGTTAACATGGCTACATGATAATTTGGATTCTAACGATTTCAATATCAACATTAAGTGGCAGTGTGAATACTTTGAAATACAAAGAGAAAAAAGTAAAAAAAAAAAAATTATATAAATGAAATTACAGCTTGAAAATTAAAAAAATAATGAAATTAGTTACTATTTCCTATGATTTTGATAAGAAATTAATGAGGATGTTTGAGTGGTCGTTGGTCCCCCATTTAACAAAGGGCGGGGACTACATGCACGCGTCTTGAGAAGAAAAAAAAAAAACCAATTAAAAAAATAGACGACTTGTAACAAACAGATTTACTAATAAGACAAAACTGAAGTCTTTGATGCCACATTTGTTTTTTATGATCTCGAGAAAAACCCAAAACCATATAATTAAAATTTGAGTTAAAAAAAAAAAAAAGAAAAGAAAAAAGCAAGCTATAAAGGTAAAATGGTGACAGATTTGATTATTTAGGTATTTATATTATATAAAATATTAAAATATATATTTATATTATATTTTATAAAAAATTACATATCATGATTAATATTAATATAAAAATATGAAATATAATTTTTTAAATTTATATATAATTATTATTATTTTATTTTATATTAATTTTGTATTTTATTTTTAAATTATATTTATATAATATCATTATGTTAAATTATAAATTATTAGATCTAGATAGATATCATGAAATTTAGATAAAAAAAACCAAAAAATAAAAAGGATAAACTTGTTTAAGAAGTGTTTTGGTTGGAGGTTGGAGAAATCGATGATATTGAGAGAAAAAAAAAAACATGAATTAGTCATCTGTTTTGTTTGTGTCATTGCCATTGTGGGGGAAACTGTTTGAATCATCATGTCAACGTGATAGGATTTGAGAAGGGGAGGGTTCGCATTTTGTACGAGTTCTTAAAGCCGTGTTGGATCAAAATTCTTTGAAAGAAAGAAATTATATCAGAAAAGAAAGTATGTAAATAAATGCATGAACTATTCAACCCTACCTATTCGAGCCATCGGCTGACTCATACCTAATAAATTTTTTTAAAAATTATATCTTAAAAATAATTAATTAAATTAAATTTCAAATCAATTTATTTTTTTATTATAGGAGCTCCATTTAAAAAAAAATTATTGTTGTTTTTCTCAGCAAGATTTCCCTAAACAGTTGTTATTGACCAAAGCCTACCAAAGCAAGGTCTCCAAAGAGTGCTTCAATTGATAAGGTTCCATGAGATTTTGTCTCCTTGGGGATGACCCCTTTTTTCCTTTTCAAGAGAATTGGAGATGACTTCAACCAAAAGAAAATTATACTCTTATCTATATGTTAATGGATTCCAATGACTAATTAGAAGGCTAATATGTATTTTTAATTTAAGAACCTTTCTTTTATTGTCCTTCAATACTTCCTTTTCTTGCCTTTGTTATTATTGTGGGGGATGAGTTTTTTTCTCATTGATAATCCAAAAATTTATTCTAATTAATTCGATCGTCATTCTTAAAAGATTGTACGTAATAAGTTTAAATTCAAATCTTAATTTCATAATTTTTTTTTATAATTACAAATTATGATTTTATAAAAATGTACTGTTTGATATTTGAAAATGTTGTTTAGGCTAAGAATTAAAGGGCAGCCATTAATTAACTTGATGACAATTGGCAGCCACCAACATATGAATCACACCAAGTAATTGAAGTAAATTTGACCCAAAAACTATAATTAAGATATAAACAAGTAACTAAACTTGTGAAAGTCATACCAATGATGTCATTGAACAATGAATATTGTATGATACTTTATCTTTTTTATCAATCAGGTATTCATGTGGTTGGAATTTAAAACTATTCATTTTAAAAGTCAAATTATCAATCTATTGATTTTAATTTCATTTAATAATGTTTAATAAAAGGAAAATCCAATGAATTTGATCTAAAAAAAAAAATTAAGTCTTACCATTTACATTAAGGAACAAGGTTTAGCCCCATTCAACATGTGGAGAAGGAAAACCTGTTTTGATTACTAATCTAATTTTACTTAAACAAGTGGCAATCACTTATTTTTAAACATTGACAAATTAAAACTCTGTTTGCTCATTAAAATAATACTTAGTAATTAGATTAGCAACAAATTAATTATTCTCTCTTAGAAGGAGAAATGCTTTTGTTATAATGCTTCAATAAGGGAAGGACATATCTTATCATTTATAGATAAATATCATTTGTAGTCAAATTTTATCACAATCATAGATGAATTTTTAGTTTGATGATATTAAAATCGATTTCGAGATTAAAAAATTTGAATTTAAATATCAATTGTAATTCTAAATTTTTTTTTTTGTTGAAGTAATTAAAATTAAATGAAAATCTTAATATATGATTACCCAAATTTAACAAAAATATCAAAATAAAAATCAGATACCATCAATGCCTATTATAGATTTTTAATGTTTACATGAAACATAATACGATGAGATTATCATTAGATATATGTGGAAGATACGTTTTATAATTGAACTCTTCAAAATAAATTAAATTTATTTTCCAATAAAATAATAATAATAATAATGTGTCTTGTCCCATAACTGGTACAGCTTGTCATCCTTTGTGTACAAGACAAGGAAACATGGCCAATTATTTTATGTGCTGTCCTTCATCTTCTTGACATCCTCTCCTTCTCTCTTATCCATTTTAGTTTTTAATATCAATTTTTTTTGTAAATTTATTTCAATTTTAATGGGTGAAAACTCCTCAACAAACCTGACTTCAACTCATTAACAAATGCTACAAGAATTCAAGCACATGGAAAATGTGGCAATGTGAGCTGTGTGGTTGAGCCGTTGAGATGTAGACTGTTGTACTATGAAATATCGGAAGAAAACGTTGATTCCATTTTTTTCATTACCATTTTTATATTAATGAAAAACTTTGAATTTTTAAAATTTGATTTTTTTAATACAAAGAATATTATACTTTGAGAATAAAAAAATGATTGCAAATGTTAAATATTATTTTTTAAAAATAATTATTATAAATTAAATAAATTAAATTTTAAATTCATAATCATAATTTTTTTCATTCAAATGATTATTAATTTTGATTTGATTGTATCATAACTTTATAATTAATTCAGATTAAATTTATCATTAAATGAATTACATTATTGATATTGATTAAAAAAAATAATAGGTATAGTTAATCTTGAATAACCAATCATTGTATTGTAAAAATTGGATATGTTCAATCTATTATCATTAGGTCCTTTTAAAAAGATTTATTAAATTCATCGAGTTGTTTTAAATAATCAAAACGATTTATTATTAATGAAATTATTTATCGACTTTTTGTAAAATACTTGTTTGGACGAGGGTTTCTAAACATATCATCTAAACCTATGCTGATAAGAATTAAAGTTAGAATTAGTGAATTATCTCTCTGCCTCTGGCCTATGTTGTTCTGATTAATAATGTTTGATTGTTGGAAAATTGTTTGGGGTTTTGCCTAAGAAATAGAAAAGGAAATTAAGGGGAACAACAAACGTGACACACACAACTACATGTCCCAATCAAAGGGCATCGTAGTCTCTTTGAACCCCAAAATTTGGCATCCCAATTTTGGTTTAGAATATACCAAGCACCTCGTAAGTCCAAAGTGCATGTCGTTTTATTTTAATAAGAAAATCAATGGATAAGATAAAAGATGGATAAAATATTTTTTATTTTTATTTTTATTTTATATTTATCTCATATTCATGTTCAATGATATTTTAAATTTTTTCTCATTTTTATTCTCGTAAATATTTTTTATTTTATATATTTAAATAATTTTTTATAAATATATATTAATATTTATTAATTTTAAATAATATTTTAAATTATTTAATA